TACCTCTCTCAATGCATTAACATCTCTGCCGCATAACTTCACTTGTATGGTATAGAGTGATATATTTTTCACTCCTCTTGCTACCACCAAGTTACGCTTGGTTAACTTCCACTTCCCTTCGCCGAAGTGACTCACATAACCATCATCATCTAGCTTTCCTATGGAGATCAGATTAAGGTGAATATCAGGGACATGCCTTAACTCTTTCAAGATCAGCTTGCATCCATTGTTAGTCTCGATCTCAACACTTCCTATGCCAACAATCTTTGACGAGCCATCATTATCCTTTCTCACGAGACCGAAATCTCCAGCTGTATATGAAGAGAAAAATTCTCTCTTGGGAGCTACATGAAAGAAGGCTCTGGAATCAACTACCCAAGTGGTATCCTGACATGTTAAGTTGATGCTCTTATCAGTGCAGATTGTTAAGAAAACTTCCTAATAGATTTTGATGAAGACAAAACTATCCATGAGTAAAGTCTGATATATACTTTGAAGTAATGCTTTTGAAGTATTCTAAGTCCAAACAGTTATATTCTGAAAGTCCAGACTTTAAGTTTATCAGAAGAAGTAATCCAGGTTCTGCATTGCAGAAGACAAAGTTCAGACTTTGTGCAAAGAAGTAGAAGTATCGCAGTTTATATATTGGAATCAATATATTCAGAATTTACCAACAAACCACTCTGACTTCAAGTTCTGAGCGCAAAGACCTTATCCAGACGTTATCGCTTACTCAGAACGTAAACAACGACTAGTAATCTGGCTTGGATTTCACTAATAAAAAGAATTGATTGATTCGATCTTAAAAGGCTATTTTGCAAGGAATATTTATATAGCAAGATATCCTAAGTTGATTGACAATCAAATCTCACGACAAGTTTATTTCTAAATGGAGAAGCTCTACTTGTGAAAACCAAATCTCTGGTTATATTGGCAACCGGATTTAGCGAGATTATGATTTTATCACTCAACGGCTACTCAATCCTTTATATACAAATCTATCCAAGATGAAGATTGGAAGATGATCCTCTAAAGACTGTCCAGCGGCTAGTTTGAAAGTGGAGGAGTATAAAAGGAGACAAATCGTCGAAGAGCAGTAGTAGATAGACGAATCCAGAATTATCCATTTCAAAGTCTGAGCAAACTCTGACAAGTTTTTTACTTGTCTTTCTCGAGCTTAAATCTGTGATCTTGAGAGACTGGTTATAAGAGAGATAGAGTGATCCTTCTGAATATTACTCATAACTTGTAATCTCTTGATCGATCAGCTAGTGGAATCCAGCTAGTAAACTGTTAGTGTGGGAGAGTGGACGTAGGCTTGATCTAAGCCGAATCACTATACATATCTGTGTGCATATTCTCTGTTCCCTAAATCTCTTTATTGCTCATTTGTCTGTTTGCCATTCAAAATCTGACTAAAATCTGAATGTTGTTCAGACTTTGCTTGAGTCAATTATTTTCGCATTAAAATTGATCAATTTGAATTCAATTCACCTATTCACCCCCCTCTAGGTGATATTTGCTAGTCTCATCATGGATAACCATCATGTCTTCATAAACTATAGTGACATTTGTAGCTTGTGCTTCAACTTGCTTCTTAGCTGCCTTCGATCGACAATCTCTAATGAGATGCTCGGTTTTTCCACAATGAAAACAAGCCCTCTTCTCAACCCTTGGCCTTGAGGTTGAATGACCTTTAAGTCCACGGCTTTTGCTCCTCCCACAATCTACTTTCTTCCCTTGTTAATTGAAACAAGAGTTTTATCACCATGGTTATAGTAACCATCATCCTTGCGCCTTTGCTCTTCACTTAGCAATCTGTTCTTCACTAACTCCATGGTCAAGGCTCCATGGAATTGTGAATTGACACAAATTAAGGTGTCCTAGTTTTTTGGCATAGAACCTGTCAGGAAGTGTGCATGCAATTTCAGAGTGATCATCCTCTCCATTGCATTGATTTGATTTACCAGCCCTTCCGTAGTGCCTACGTGTTCAGACACACTTGTTCCATCTTTGTACTCCATACGCGACACCTTCTTTATCAGGGTTGCTATGTTTCGAGATGCATTCCTCGCATATGTCCGCTCTAGATTTTTCCACAAATCATAAGCATTGTCTTCTTGGGTGAAGTTTTGAAAGATGCTTTGATCGAACCACCTTGTAATGGTGCCAACACATCTTTTGTTGAGGATAGTCCACTCATCCTCCTTCTCCTCCTCTTCTTCTAGTGTTAATATTGGGGCTTTTGAGGAATCTTCTCCTTCCTCTCCAGGTTTTGCTAATTTAGGAACTAGTGCTAGAGTCTTTACCATGCCCTTTGGAGGCATTCTTGTCTTGATTGGTATTTCCAAGCCTTTGATATAGAGATGATCCTCCATCTTGCACTCCACATTGTATAATTCGTAGCCGTGGGCATGATCATGTTGACCTTGTCTTCTGATATCTTTTACAACCTCTGCTTTGATACCACTTTGTTGAAAATTAAGTCAGATCGCAATCAATCGCAGCAAAATTCTAACTGTCAAAATCGCGCAAGATGTCATCGTATATTCTCTTCGTAGAAAAACGTAAGTAGCACAGTAAAAGAACAATGATACACCAGAAGTTTTTACATGGAAAACCCAATATGAGAAAAATCGCGGGACGTTGGTCTAGAAACTGCTCCACTATAATCAAAGGATTACAATTAACACTCTAATGGTGTTTCTCTAACAATAAATCCTTACAATTGTCACAAAACACATCTTCACTTGAACTCTCAAGATATCTCGTGTTTACATACATTGTTGAAGACTCTTGTGATATCTCTAGAGTATTTTCTGGTGCACACAAAAAAAAACCTCCACCCAAGCCCTTCTGTTTATAGCGGTAGATCTCCACCCAAGTTAGGAATCCACCCTAATTGATTGACAATCACCTCCTAATTAGAAATCTCCCCCGATTGATTAGAATTCCACTAATTGGGCAATCGCTAAAATTGATTCCATCCTGGTATTCTTTCTAAATAAGGCTTTTTATTTAGATTTTTTCCTTTTTAGCATCCTCCTATAATAGGACTCCTTCTTATTAGGTATTTGTGATGAGCAATCTTCGGATATTTCAAATCGACTCCCGAATATGTTGGGCTGCTCCCCACAAAAAGAAAATGCTTTATATAGAAGAAAAGAAAAATCGATCAACTTTGACCAACGTTGGTTCAATGCAATTTGAAACGGTGGCTGTGTAGAAAGTTTTCTTCTACCATTGAGTTTTATTGAAATGGTGTCACAAAGGATTCTCCAAGGTTCAGAATGGCGCGAGGCTATTTCAGAAGGTTGAAATGTCGATGAATTAAATTGGATTGCGTATTTTCTTCTTCTCGAACAATACTACTATCTTTCTATATATTTTTTTTTTCGGATCACTTAAGGGTTACTTTTTAAAAAAAACGATCATTTAAGTGCCAATTCCAATTTGGTTGCCGGAAATCCGACGTGGCCATATTTTATTAATTTCTTAGATTGACGTGGCTTGCCGGCGTGCCTAGTCAGCATATATTTCCCTAAACGACGTCGTCTACAAGTTTGCCCAAATATAAACCCTTAATCGCCAATTGAAGGAAATTCCCAAATTTGAAACTCTAATGACTATTCAATCGAAAATTGAAACCCTAATTCGGTTTGCCCCCAAAATTAACAGCTTAATTTTGCAAATGGAGAGCAGTAGCATGAGGAGTGGCTCAAATTTGTTTCAACGAAGCGAAGAAGATAAATATTATTGTTATTGTTGGCGATTGTAACTGGGCTGCATCAGATGACCGAGTAATGAGCTTCAGTCACAATGACGCTGCATATGCGAGGCCAAAACACTACAAATCGGGCCGGAGATGCTGGGGTATTCCTATAAAGCGCCTGGATTTGATCGGCCGCCGGTGTTGCTAGAATGGGGGTGATATCACAGGAGCAACTGGACCAGGCTGATTTACTGTGGCAGGGACCGATTTAAAGGGTTGGAGCCCTACCGGGATTGCTGAATCTCGTCTATTGGTTGCTGATGTTATTGGAAATTTGTTGCTGTGTCAGTGGTGGCAGGGGATGCACGAACAAGTATTGACGAATGTGAGGACGAAACTGAGGTTCTGCAAAACGATGTCCGGGCAAAGTGCGGATGGAAATCGAAACTCGCTGGTGCAGTGGTAACCAAACGTAGTGGCAGGGCGACAGCGAGCGAATGGTAGTGACAGGGAGTCGTTTGGCTTGGGAGTCGAGCGTTGAACGATGGTGGACCCTCCGAGCCCCATTTTGAGAGTTTCAAGGGCGACGTTGTTTTTCACCTAGGAGAGTGGTGCGATGTCGCTTTTACACAACCCAGCCACGTTGGATGGTGCTGCGTCATTTTTATTATTCACGTGGATGGACGAAGGATAGTAGAAGTGTCAAAAGTTATGTTTATTATTCACGTGGATGGAAGAAGGATAGTAGAAGTGTCAAAAGTTATGTACGACGCTCATTTTAGTGCAAAAAGTTTTTTTTCGGATCACTCAAGTGCCATTTTTTAAAAAACACGATCACTTAAGTGCAAACTCCGATTTGGATCGTCGAAAATCCGACGTGGCTATATTTTATTATTTTCTCAGTCTTCCGTGGCTCGTCGACGTGTCTAGTCAGCATATAGCCTCTAAACGACGTCGTTTAAAAGTTGTAAATAGTGATCATTTGAGTGGCAATTTTTTTTAAAAGAGATCACTTAAGTGTCAGTCGTTGTTAAAAAGTGATCACTTCAGTGCCAATCGTTGTTAAAAAGTGATCATTTCAGTGCCAAACACCGGCCCAAACAAGCAGCAACTAGCTGCACCACCTTGTGTAGCTCGACCAATAAGCACTAGCACTAACTTTGCACCAACAGCACATAGCTGGTGAATCTTGTGCTTGCACTAGCACATACAATAGTTGGTGCAAGCAAAACCAGCAAAACTAACACACCAGCACAACCAAAAGCAATATATAGAAATGGCAAAAACATAGACAAAATAAAGTCCATTGAAATTAAACTTAGTCTTTACATTTGGTCAATTTGAATAACGCACTAAAACATCTCAACATCCAGGGGTTGGCTTCCCACCAAACAAAAATATTCAACTCAACACTTAACAATATCAACCCCATCAATCTCTGCATCAACGCTTCTCTTCCCTAGGCCAAGACCCTCCGCTTCAAGGAACGGCTATTGCCGCTGTTGCTGCGCTTTGCCTTCTTAATCTCCACTCTGATCTTGTTCAGGCCAATCACGACTTGCCTCTTCTTCCTGCTCCTGATCCTGCATGCATTGCATAGAGATTGCAGGACCAAAGCACAAATCGATCATAAGCTGCGTCAAAATCAAAACAACTATCGAGCGGTGAAGTAATCTTTGCTGGCTTATCATTCTCCATCACATTGACAAACTCAACCTCAAGGGGAGCTTCACTAGTGTCAGAATCATTCAAGTCTTGAGATGAAACATTTTGAATGCATTTTCCCTCCATGTTGACCTTCCTCGTGATCTTTTCTTCTACAAGTCTCCCACAAAATCCCAAATATACTATATTAAAAGGGATTAAACAAAGTATTATCTCCAGGATAGAATCATTGCCAAAGACAACTCCAGAGGGCCTTTTTGCCCCTTTTTAGGCCAAAACTGACAGAGGCCCCAGTTACAAGTATAGAACTAATAATAACATGACAGATCAAAAGCCCGTTGTAGGCCAATGAAACTCCATATTAGCAGAAAAGTTAAAGAGCTCAAAAAAGAAATTGCTTATAAAGCTTCCTTAATTGTGAAATGGAATATTAGCCAACTTAAGCTAACATAATTCAAAAAAATTTCAAAGGGCGTAAATTTTCTTCTTCGAAAGCAATAAGAGACACTGTTTTATGAAAGAGATGAAGTTAGAAACACGCATTGGAGCAACCTAACCAATGCAAACCAAATCGAGTGATTTCAGCTGCCTAACCAATGCAAGAATTTCGAGATCTTGATGAGATGGTCTCGCATGAAGTCCCGATCAATGCGGCCACTAACCTTTTTCACCCATATCTGGCATTTGTGTCAACTCTTCGTAAGATCTAGTAGCTCTTCGAAGTCGGCGAAGTACGACAAACCTTTGCGATTGCCGAGAGACAACCCCCAAGCATCGGGATTGGGGGTGAAGAAGCGATCGCACTGTGAAATCTACTGAACTGAAGTAGGAAGAAGGAGGCTGAAGCGAATCAAACCCATAATGATGGATCAAGAGAGAGAGGTCAGTGATGATCTTGAGGAAGCTAAAAATGGAGCCGAAAAGCACACACAAAGCAAGAGAGAGAGCGAAACTCTATAGAGAGAGGGGCAAAAATCCACGTGGATTGGATTTTTTTAACAAATATGCCAACTCAGCTTATTTTTTTAATTATAAAAGCCACGTAATTATTTTGGCTAGAATTTCTCGCCGTTGGCACTTAAGTGATTGTTTTTCTCTGATTTGACACTTAAGTGAGTCGGTGAGAACTTTTGGCACTAAAGTGAGCGCCGTACACAACTTTTGACACTTCTAGTGTCCTTCTTCCCAAGTTTAATTATAAAAGCCACGTAATATTTTTGATCGAAATTTCTCGTCGAAGGTACTTAAGTGATTGTTTTTTCTCCAATTTGGCATTTGAGCGAGTTGGCAAAAACTTTTAGTACTAAAGTGAGCGCCATATGAAACTTTTGGCGCTTTTTGTGTCCTTATGCAAAAAAAGAGAGTGGGTCATTGTCTTCTTATGTGAGACATTATATCTTAAAGTCAATACTTCCATTAAAGCCAATAATAGAAATATAACTATCTTGTAGAAACTTTCTTGAAAAGAAGGCAGAAGGATACTAGAAGTGTCAAAAGTTGTGCTCGGCGCTCACTTTAGTGTCAAAAGTTTTCGACGGATCACTTAAGTGCCAAATCGGACATAAAACGATTACCTAAGTGCCTCCGACGAGAAATTCCGATCAAAATGATTCCGTGGCTTTTATAATTAATTTTTTTTATCCAACTTTGGCATTTTTATATTACAAATGAGTCCATGTCAGATTTTTATATTAAAGACTGAGTCGCCTATCTCCCCCTCCTTGCTGGTTTTCATGTTGCTCTTAATCGCATAGTTGAGCTTTGATCGCCGGATCCCGCCGATCCGCTCTAATCAGCATCACATCCGGCGACCTCGTCTTCTCTCCCAGTAGGAACATCATATCCTTGAACCTCATTTTTCTGCAACAGCATCGAATCAGGTCTCTCAAGGGAAACGCTGCTACTGGGGTCTGCTTCTCGGTGTCTCTTGCCCTTCAGCGATATCCAACTCTTCTTTCTCACTCGTCTTTGCGTTCACAACTCTCCTCATCGTCAATTTGAGTCTAGTTGGAGCTGTTATGGTTGCCGTTGAACACCATCCAACGCCATTTTTCTTCATTACCTTATTTCGCCATTTGGTATGGATTTCTACTAATGTCATATTATGGAATCAAAAACTTACTCTAGTTTTGCATATAAGATCCTCACCTAAGACACTCATCATGTGTTCGACGGAATGCCGAAACCAGATTTGCATAAATTTGGGCAAAAGAACACTACAAGTGCCATAACTTGTGTACGGCGCTCACTTTTGTGCCATAAGTTTTTTTTGGATCACTTTAGTGCTAAAAATTTTTAAAAACGATCACTTAAGTGCTAAAATTTTTTAAAAACGATCACTTAAGTGCCAACTCTAGTGCCGTACACAATTTTTCGCCGGAAATCCGACGTGGCATTTTTTTTATGGGAAAAAACCATCAAAAACCCCAAACTTTGCCATCTGCGACACATTTACCCCGAACTTTTTTTTGTGACACCAAAAATCCCGAACTTTGCTTTTTGTGACACATTTACCCCAATGTATTTAGTCCATGGGCATTTTCGTCTTTTTTGCTTTTTCTTTTTTTTTTTTCTTTTTTTTTTCCTTTCCGGCGAGGGGGCCTCGCCGGCGTCGGGCGAGGGCTGCCCTCGCCGGATCCGGCGAGGGGGCCCTCGTCGGCGTCGAGCGAGGCGGCCCTCGCCGATCCGGCGAGGCGGCCTCGCCGGCGCCGAGCGAGGTCCGCCTCGCCCGGGCGAGCGAGGCGGCCTCACCCGATCTGGTGAGGTCGACCTCGCCGGCGCCGATCGAGGGCGGCCCTCGCCGGCGTCGGCCGAGGGTCGCCTCGTCTTGGCGAACGAGGGCGGCCCTCGCCGGATCCGGCGAGGGCGGCCCTCGCCGGCGTCGGGCGAGGGTCGCCCTCGCCCGGGCGAGCGAGGCGGCCTCGCCGGCGTCGAGCGAGGGTCGCCCTCGCCCGATCCGGCGAGGGCCGCCCTCGCCGACGCCGGGCGAGGGCCGCCCTCGCTCGGACGCCGGCGAGGGTCGACCTCGCCGCATCGGGCGAGGCTCGCCCCGGGCTGCTCGACGCCGGCGAGGGTCGACCTCGTCGGATCGGGCGAGGGCCGCCTCGCTCGCCCAAGCGAGGGCGGACCTCGCCCGACGCCGGCGAGTGTCGCCGTCGCCCGGGCGAGCGAGGGCGGCCCTCGCCCGACTCAGCGAGTCGACCCTCGCCCGACGCCAGCGAGGGTCGACCTCGCCTGAGTAGGGCGAGGGCCCCCCTCGCTCGCCCAGGCGAGGGCGAACCTCGGTCGACGCCAGCGAGGGCCGCCCTCGTCGGATCTGGCGAGGGCCGCCCTCGCTCAACGCCGGCGAGGGCCAAATGAGGCGCGCACTATAATCCACATTTTAACCCGAAATTAACCCCAAACTCGGGCCGAATCATTCCAATACTTTCAGCCTTCATGCAGCACATTCCAAGTCATTACACCTCATTAAAATGATCCCGTTAGACCACCAAAACCGCCATGAAAACAGCCGCTATTCGGTCTTCAATTTACACCCGCCAAATTCACAATTTCGCCCAATTTGAGGCACCTATGCACAGCCACTTCACAGCACTATACGGGTCATTAAACCTCAACTAAATCATCACACTAAGCCCGTAAAATAGCCACAAGATTAGTACGAAAACAGCCACCATTTAGCTCGCAAATTTCACTCGCCAAAACCACAATTTTTGTCCAAATCACAACTCTGGTGATCAGCCACCACGCAGCACGTTATGGACCGCCAAACCTCAGTCAAATTATCAGTCTAGGTCACCAAATGCGCCACAAAATCAGCCCCTAACAGCCACCGTTTGGATCACAAGTTTCTCCCGCCAAGTCCACAATTTCTATCCGAATCGAAGCGCCCAAGCTCAGCCGACTCACAGCACAATACGGGACTCTAAATCTCAATTAAATCATCATGATTAACCACCAAAACAGCCACGATAACAGCCCTTAACAGCCTCCACCATTTAACCCCTAAATTAACCTAATTAACCCCTAAAACCCATCTAGAAACACACATTAGTCTAATTAGGATTTAGGGTTGTACTCACTTAGAATCCTAAGCTTTAATCAAGGCTGAATAAGCAGCAAGGGTGGCTGGGCAGCAGTGGATCCGCGCCGGAACAGTGATGGCGAGCGGTGGCTCTGGTGAAGCCCTAGAGCGGCTGAGAAAGAGAGAGAGAGCAGGTGGGGGAGAGACACGGCGAGAGGGAGAGGGAGAGAGACGGAATGGTGATGGTGGTGAGGCGTGGGGCGGTGGCACCGACGGCGGCGAGCTGGTCGAGCGCGCAGCCGACGAGCTAGGGCGGCGGAGACTCGGCCAGAACAGGGGAGGAGTCGGGCGAAGAAAACAGGGGAAGGGAAAAGAGAGGGGGGTCGCGGCGGCGACGGCGCGGCCGGCGGCTGGGCGAGCGGCGGCGCAACTCGGTAGGAGCAACGGCGGCGCGAGGCGGTCGGCTTGGTGCGGCCAGGCGGAGGAAGAAGCAGAAGCGAAGCAGGAGTCGGGGCGAAGATACGAAGAAGAAAAGAAAAGGAAGAGGAAGAAAAGAAAAGAAAAGAAGAGAAGAGAGAGAGAGAGAAGGAAACGTGAGCGAAAAGTAGGGGAGGGGGTGTCTGAGGCATGGGCAGACGTGCGCAGACACGGCAGAGGGAGGAGAGAGAGAGAGAGAGAGAGGGGGAATAAATTTAAATGTTCAATCAAATAAATAATGCAATTCAACGGCCCATAATTAAAACCAACAACGTTCCGACGGTCCAAATTAATCCTAGAATATAATAAGGGACAAAGGCCAAGTTAATTAAATCAACTACCACGAGGGAGGTCTACTAGTCCAAATTCGCACCCGGTCAAAAACTCCCCTTTTTCCATTATTCCTGACAATCTCAACGCTGGCCACAACAATATCGACACCATCCAATTTATTTCATCCAGAAACTTCCGAAAATCGACTGCCAAGTTCGGGGTCTAAATAACGATCAAATTCGATCGAGTGCGATTCTAGCGAAATCTCTAATTTAAAAATAATAACCGAGAGTGATCAGTTCTCGGCGAGATTTTACTATAAGCACACTGACAAATTACACATTTTATAAATCACAAAAATGGGCCGAAATTCGGAATGTCACACAATGGAAAGCGGCAGCAGTGGCTGTCTTCTGGCTACTTGAGAATCAGGTGA